GACGTAGAGATGATATTTTGCTTTCAGTTCATAAAATTCTCTTACTAGATTAGGATCGTTCATGGGTTTAGTGACATCTTCCTCCTGTTTCACTTCACTCATGTAATCTTTTGTGTCACGCTCACTGTCTCCATCGTTTGAACCACACGGCCCACAATCGGCGTATCCATTATCACTTGCATCGGTCGATGACAACTCTAAATTGCTCGGTAAAATGAAATTTTTCATCAATTTATTTCCATTTAAGGCCACAGATAAATTCACGGTTCCAAGATTTAAAGGTTCGAGAAGTTTACAAGAACTAGCTGTGTGTGGCGATGGTCGATCAGCAACAGTTTCAGTACTAGATCGCCTGTAGTAAGGACACTCTCGGAGAAAATGGTTTCCAGAACCGCAAATGAAACACTGTTTCAACCTGACACGACATTCTTGACTCACATGACCACTACGCCGACAGTATTCACAACATTTCTCACCAGAATCGGATCTTTGACCGTTTCGAACTATCTGGTTGCCGGTCTTCCTTGGACGAGGTTCCAGAGCCTTGCGATAGACTCTCGACCGTTGGTTACGGAAAAGAAAATTATTGTGCCGGCCAAACTTGCGAAACTCGTTGACGCTCGAAGGGGCGTACTGAGGTGCGGTATCATCTCTGTTCTTGCAGCGTCTACAGGTAACGAAGCTTTCATTGGTGAAAATTTCTTCGTTAAAATACGGCGCCCACTTGCGTTTGAACTGGCTTAAGGTTTCTTGGCATTCAGTGGGCAATGAGAATTTTCTGATCTCCAGTCTTGTGAAAAACTTCGTGAAATGTTCAAGGCTCTCCATGATGAAACAGATCTCTTCGTAGCTATACGTTGCATCTTTTCGCTCGTGAACGTTTGCCATCTTCAACAACAGTTAGATCGCGTGGGCAAGAAGCACAACAAATAAGCAAAGCTCCTGCGATCAGCTGTCAGGCGCGTTCGGGGATCCACCACAAGAGACAAGGCTCCGAAAAACACGATATTATGAACGTTAATTTACTTTATTTTCCTTTACGTTACTTTATTTTACGTTACTGTACTTTTACGTTACTTTAATTTTACGTTACTTTACTTTACCCAGTTAAGATTCCGACTGGCACGGCACCATTATGTTGGGGACTATTCAATAAATAAGCATTCTAACCCCAAACACTTGGCCAATGATCGCAAATAAAGGATGAATAAGAACTGATAAATAAAGAACCATAATATTAAATGAAAGATAAATACAAGAAAACAAATATCAAAAACTATAAACCGTGTGCAACACATAACAAATGAATATAGCACACATAAATGATAAACTAATATAACAATATTTAATATCACCAAAAAAAGCCACCACTACGTATATCAATACTGAAGATTAACACAATACACAATACAAGCACTAACCTCTGTGGTGGATCACACAGCAATGACAAGATACAAGGCGGGTCTACAAGAGGTCATGTAAGAGTTAACTCAAAAACAAAAGGACAAAACACGTAACCTAACCATCTATGAAATTACTATATTTAAAGGCGGTCCCTAACAATATATGTACATGACATGTAGACTTAAGCACAATTTCATGCTTAGAAGTTGCCATAAGGTTTTCAGATCCCCAATGAGCAAAACCTGCTATAAAAATATAAATCATATCAATAGGGAAATCATTATTTATTTTATATCAATCAACACTTTACTGTAAACGACGTAAGCTTTTTGGTACAATATTTGCCACTACGGTATGCATTATTCAACACGGTAGAAAATTTCATACCGAAAAAATTTCCCAATAATATTTTTTACTGCACGGTGCAGAAGAAAGTGATTATAATATCAGCAAATATATGTAAATAAACTTAATGCAATGCCATAGAACGAGCTCGGTTAGCGAGTTTATTACCACCGGCTAGGACAGCACAACTCAGCACATTCCAGAGCTGAAAGTATCGTGGTTGTAAGAGCTCAAGTGTTTATTACAGAGAGAACTGAACTTGTTCTACTTTTGGTGGCTAAAATAATACGACAACGACTATCAATAATATATGGGATCGATTGTCAATTGCATAGTAGTTATCAATTATATATTTGATAAGTTATAAGTTATTTGGTAGTTATTATTATTATTATTCCACGAAGAGATTGTCGTGGCGTCTCGTTCAGATCGAACTTCGAGGGCACGTTACAAATGGCTAAGGAAAGACACGAGAGGATAAAAACAGATGACTTCTATGCTAAAACAGAGGACATATGCCAAAATTGATGACGTCTATGCTAGAAAAAACAACACCTATGCTAAACCAGTAATATCCATGATAGATTAGATGACGGCCAGGCCTAAGATTCAAAGGCTCTACGGAAAAGTTCGGTTTTTAGGCGTCGACGAAACAACGGCAGCGAAGAAGCAGATGTCACCGATGCTGGCAGACCATTCCATGTTCTGGCCGCAGCGACCGGGAACGCTCTGTCGCTGACGGTGGACAGACGTGAGGACGGGACGACGAGGTCAGCCTTCGACGAGGAACGCAGTCGCCTTCTAGAAGGCAGATCCGACACGCGCCGCAGGGCTTCAGCGAGATAAGGTGGTGCTAAACCATAGAGGCAGTGGAACGTCAGAACAGCGACTTTAAACTGCGTGCGCTGCTGGATGCGCAGCCAGTGAAGGTCACGCAAAATCGTTGTCACGTGGTCGAATTTCCGCCGGACACAAACGAGTCGCGCGGCAGCTTTCATTACGAATTGCAGTTTGTTAAGTGCCGTGATGGGAAGTCCGTAGAGTGTGGCATTGCCATAGTCCAGTCTAGTCAGCACAAGCGCCTCGAGGGACAGCGACTGACGCTACGAATTCGCCGCAGGATACCAAAACAAGCAGCGGTTACTTTGGCGATGTGGTTGTTCATAGATAGTTCTGAGTACAGCTGAATGCCGAGGCTGCGCACAGAGGATGCAGGTGCGACGAACTCGTCGCCCACGCGCACAAGGTTGGCTGGAAGCTGATGTTGGCGCCGAGCGGTTGCGAACCAAATAAATTCAGTTTTCGATGCATTGAGCTGGAGCCGGTTGGAACGCATCCAGTCTGAAACGGCGTCCATGCAGGCAGACATCCGGACTTGCAGCGCTGCAGCGTCCGCCGGCGCACAGTAGCCATAGATTTGGGTGTCGTCGGCAAACATGTGCGGATTCAAGCTGTGTGAATTAATTATGTGCAACACGTCGGCAGTATATAGCAGGAAGAGGATTGGGCCGAGGATCGAGCCCTGTGGTACGCCGCAGGTGACCGTCGATGGGGTAGAAGAGGCGAGCCCGCGACGAACACATTGGAGTCTATTGTTGAGGTAAGACTCGAACCACCGCAGCACCGAAACGCGCTGGCCATACGATACGTCTAGCCAACGCAACAAGGTGGCGTGGTCGACCGTGTCATATGCAGCGGAAAGATCGAATAAAGCCAGTGCCGCAATGTTGCCGCGGTCGACCGCCTGCAGAATATCCGAAAGAACCTTCAGCATGGCGGTCTCCGTCGAGTGGTGACGACGGTATGCAGACTGGAGGCGAGGCATGAGACCTGACTTATGAAGGTAGTTATTTAGCTGCCGTGCCACAACGCGCTTGAGAAGTTTCGATAAAATCGACAGGTTGGAGATGGGTCGACACGAATTTGGGTCTGATGCGTCGAGGTCCGGCTTTTTGAGAAGCGGCGTGATGTAAGCGGATTTGAAATTCTCAGGGACAACGCCGTCAGCGAGGGAGCGGTAGAACAGTTCAACCATAAATGGTGCTTGGCTGGCAACCTTCTCCCTAAGTAGTTGCGACGGCAACAGGTCGCTGGCGCACTGCTTGTTAGGCAGAGCGCGCACCGCAGTGGTGACCTCATCCGCTGTGACGCAGGTGAACTCGCGTAGCACACAGTTGTAGGGGCATGGCGTAAAGGTTGCAGCGGAGTATCGGCCGACGACGCGCGTACAGCTGAAGTTTTGTTTTTAAAAAACGTATGGAATTATTCCGCGTTCACGTAGCCCGAAGCATCCGCACGACCTCGCCGCATTAGCCTATCCAGCGAACGCCACAGCGCCCGAGGGTCGCCGCGCTGTGCGTTAACTCTTATACTCCAGAATGACTCCCTCTTGGATCTAAGAAGGTTGACATGGGCGCGCCGCGCCTCCCGCCAGTTGCACGTCGCTTTAGCCCCAGCAGCATGATCGTTACGTCTGCTCCCGCGATGGACAGCCTGCTGGAGCAGCCGAACACCACGCTTCGAGGCGCGTCATTCGTCATCAAACAACGGGTCGGAGGCTCTCTGGGGGACACGAACAGTAAGTGCAGGAATGAGATCGTCGAGCAAAGATGTCAATTCGATGTCGTAGAGTTTTGTAAGATCATCCACTGACAGCTCCGACCATGAGTCCGGCCGACCAAGTCGGGACGACTGAAGTCTCCTGCTCAAAACATCGCCGTCGAGATCGCGCCACGGGCGACAGGTGACGGCTCTGTACGTCAACGCAGGGCGAACACATGTCACCATCCACTGAAGTAGTCGGTGGTCAGATGTTACGACTTCGATGATGTCAACGGGCAGAAACTGAATGTCGGCACGCGTGATGACAACATCCAGCAACCCGCCAAGGTCATGGGTTGGTAAGGTAACGTGACAGACCATGCCGAAGGCAGACAGCAAATCGTTCAGCTGACGCGCCCATTGGTCGTCGGCACGATCCAGTCGAACATTAATTAAAATCACCAGTGATAAAAACGTGATCGGTGAGGGTCACAAGTCTAGTTAAAACATCGCTTAATTCAACAAAAAAATCACGTGCGACAGCAACTGATCCGGGACGATAGATGACGACAGCAACACACGCGAACGAGCCGCAAACTGGCAGTTATGAATGATATAATTGAAAAGGATTATAGATACGAGGGCATAGAGCCTATATGCAGGTGCTATATCGGAGCACTTACCTACAATGCCCAAAGTGTGGAGAAATGCAGGGAACCTGACGTAGATTATAGTTTTGTTAAAATACCGAACACTCTGCGTAACTGATACTCACGCAGGTTGTAAGATGGGAGGATTGTGGTTACGAGGACAGTTATTCCGCAAGGAGAGTCGGTGACGCAAGAAGCCACGTCCAGTTCAGCTATAAAAATACCTCTGTAGGTGCCATTGTCTTGAGGAAAGAGGTGGACGTTCGATGCTGCCAGTGGGACTGCATGGCACGAACAAAGGAATTAGTGGATTTGATGACTCATGAATTGGTGCATTTCGTGCTAAGATCTTGGGAGGGACAAGCTGTGTTCGGCAGCTTTGAAGTGATCGGTCAAGGTCTCTAGGAAGCTTCGTTGCTTGGAGAAAGCTGTGACCAGAACTTTGCGTCGACAAATGTCAAAGAAATTACCTTAGAAATGAAGAGTGCTTCCAAAAATAACTTCAGAAAGAACTTTGAGTAACATGTTTTTCATTTCAAATCGGATGAAAGACATGACACTGCATGCAGATTGAACTGCCTTGCGCCGACACCAAATAGTAAAAACAACAAAACGGCGCGCATCATCGGCCAGTGAGAACATGCAGATATCACATACTAGAGCTCATCATAATAGAGATCAAGGGTTCATCATAATAGAGATAGAGGGCGCGTAATAATAGAGATATAGAGCACATCATAATAGAGATCAAGGACCTCATTGATGATGAAAATGGTTGTGTGTACTAATATTTTTAATTTCAATTAAGCTCCGAATGTCTTTTTCAAATGTGGATTTATGTTATCTAATAATAATACGGGAAAAATATTCGATCATAACTTATAATTGTCGTGCACGTTGAATTACCTTCAATGATTTCATTATGGTTAGTTGAAGCGTTGAATAGAAAGATTATTTATAAAACTCCGATTAAAGTTTTAAATAGAAGCAAGACGACTTAATTAAAAAACTGGTGTCATGCACGAAGATGGAAAGAATGAAGAAAATTCTTTTATGTCGACACCGCACCCTAGGCGAGACTTCACCATTATATGCGGACTTATGACTTTACTTGAGATTCGTTTGAAAAAAAATTATTCGGTTATTTCACCTCGGTCAGTGTGTGCTTTATTTCCCTGCCAACGGGATCACAGGAGTGTCGAGTGTGGAGTAACGAATCGTGTTAAAAATATGAGAAAAAACATGGTTTCTTAACAGTGACTTGTTTTCCGAAAGAGAAGGTTAGCTGGAGTCGTGAGAAAGAAGCTAGACGGATTTTGTCCTATTTGGCAAACGGTAATTGCATCACGAATTATTGACAACTTACTGGCTGATTGCGGCATAAATTCTGGCTGAAAGACAGCTTGGACGACATTCACGAGCTGGTACAGCTTCAATGCGGTGTTCTCAACAGTAACGTTGACGTAGGGAGCAGCGCCTGTTGAAGATTTTTTTTAATATCTCATAAATAAAGGTAAGCTACTAGCGAGAAATGCGGTTAGCATGGCCAGTACACGACAATACAAAACATCATACATATCCGCGAATGTCCTGCTTGCCTTCTAACCGCGCAAGTTGTGCGCATTAGTTAGTCGAGCGAGAATTTGCCAATTTTCTGCTCGTACAGTCACACGCACTCTGCCAAATGGAAGAGCTAAGAGCTTGGACATATGAGGTTTGTCAAACCTGTTTTAAGCGATCAATCACCAGTTTAATGAAGTACGCCAAGGCTGTACCATATCACTTTGCGGTTAGAGTATCATGTCCAGAGCTGGGCAGCGCTACTTTGAAATGTAGCGGCGCTACCGCTACCGCTACATGCTGTAAATGTAGCGGGCGCTACCGCTACCGCTACACCCATTAGTATGTAGCGAGCGCTACCGCTACCGCTACAGTAAAATGTAGCGCCGCTACATTAGCCGCTACAATGCCCAAAATCATTGGAAATCTCTAAATATTTATTGTTCTGCTATTGGGATTTACTCATAACATTTAATGTTAATAAAATATTTTCAAAACATATCAATGCAACTTTATTGCCCCCAGCGATGGTTTTATCACCCAGATCTGTTTTTTAACCTCTCCTGGCTTTACGTCTCGGACAAATTAGCGGCCGGACTCGCGGCCGGTCTCACGGCCAATATCCAAATTCTATGATCAAGGAATATCTCTCAAACTAATGAACTTAACTCGATGAATCTTGGTACACGTATTCAATAGGACCTAACAATAATTTTAATTACTAGTGAAAATTGTTTGAATTTTGCCATCGTTTGTTTTTGCCATTGTTATATGGCAATACGGGCCGAAATTCACAGTGATCAAGTAATTTCTTCCAAACTACTGAAAATATTCGAACGAAATTTTGAATTCACAGTTTTAACTACCGAACGGTAATGTTTAGCTCGTGAAAATTTTTTCGATCGTGCCTTCGTTCGCGAGTTTTTTTTATTTCACTTTTATTCGTGATATAAACAGCAATACGTGCTTAAATTCGCAGTAATCAAGAAATTTTTTCGAAACTTCTGAACAGATCTGAACAAAACTTAGTATTTAAATACCTAACCTCAGCAACGGTGATGTTTACAATTTTTTCGTTTTGCCTTCGTTTGCGAGTTATACGGCTATACGTATAAGGCTCTTGGTCAAACCGGCCGGTAGAAACTCCGGTCGTTCCTTCTATATCTGTATAGCTTGCGAACGAAAGCAAAATAGAAAAATTGTCAAGAGCTAAACAAATTCGTTGAGAGGTTAGGTATTAATATACAAAGAATCCTCGAGATCTGTTCTGTAGTTTAGAAGAAATTTCTTGATCACCGCGAATTGAAGTTTCAAATTACCCGGAGAGACGGGCCGAATACAAGGAAATGTGAAATCAAGAATGACGGTTGAATGAAAAAAAACTCGCAAACGAAGGTAAAATCAGAAAAAAAACTTTATAAGCTAAAAAATCGCCGTTTGGTAGTTAGGAATGTATATTCAAAATTTCGTTCAAATCTGTTCAATAGTTTGGAAAAAATTCTTTGATCACGGCGAATTTCGGCCTGTTTCGCCATGTACGCGTAATCACGAATGAAGGTAAAATTTAAAAAATTACGAGCTAAACATCACAGTTAGGTTCTGATGAATACGTGTTCCAAGTTTCATAGAGCTGCGTTCATTAGTTTGGGAGATATTACTTGATAATTGAATTTGGAGATTGGTCGTGAGACCGGCCACGAGTTCGGCCGTAAATTCGCCCGAGACGTCCTAGGTTTCCAGTGCTGAAACAGTTAAAACAGCTGAAAAACATATTGGTTCACTAAATGGGGTTCTATTTGTGAAATACACACTTGTGTTTAACCTGTATCTTTTAAAATTTCAGCGTAATAAATTTCAAGAAAGAAGCATATGTCTGTAGGGGGCGCTAGAAATTCACTAGGGAGCCAAAGGGAGCGCCAGTGAAAATGTTTGGGAACCACTGACCTAACCGAACTAGTACGGGTTAGATACAGTAAATAAAAGTTACACTTTTTTATGTTTTACCTTCCCTCAAAGTCATAAGACTTTGGTCTTAAGACTTTGAGGTCTTAAGATCTATATGCGAGATTAGGGCATATTGTAAGGGGTTGTGTTAGAAATGCATCGGGACAAACTTATTTACGCAGTAATATCATTGGTCATTCGATACACTTATCGGGACTCACATATTTATCGGACAGCAATATCACAGGTCAATCAATTAACGTCTAGGGACACACCTATTCACTACACAGTAATATACAATTTAGGTTTTGGGACTCTTTTGTTCATATCACAGTCATATCACAGGTCAATATTAATGTATGGAGTCTCACTGAAAGGAACACTTGAAGGAGTTCCGTAGGAAATACTGGAGTTGGTCACGTAAATGACTGGTTCTTCCGTCGAACAGGAGCAGAGTTTCTTGCCAAATCTGTATGCTGTGCAGGTTCCATTGAAAGAAAACCCAGCCATGTCTGAAAAAAAACAAGTAGTTTCTCACGAAATGTGTTTACGGCTATCAATTTTTGAGAAAGTGGTAGTTACTGGGAATTTGAAATTTGTGTCCTCGAGCGTAAGATATTCCTGCATGGTGAGCGTCCGCGGGTCATTGAAAAGCCCCTCAGCCGACGGAATTCTTTACAGTTCAAAGGATTAGGTCAAGCCGCGTCTCTCGAAGGTCCTGCACGCATGAGCACAAATATGAAGCTCATAATAATTTGACAAATGTTCATTATAGCAAATTGTAACTTGGATCACGAATCAACAAAGAATGAATTGGTGCAACTCTGTGACTTCTGACCAAACAATGTGGACTCTGCGGAAGTGCCGAAGTTACAAAGGGACCTTAATTTCAAACAATTCTTCAAGACCACAGTGTAAGCACAATATTCACCTTCTAAGGCGGCCTGCCTCGCGCACTGCACCACATCCGTTGCTGACATCCTTTTAGTCACATTTACGGCAGCGGTCACCTTGAGTGTTGAGATCGAGAAGCGTCGGTAAGTCTGCAAGAAGAAAGCAAATGAACATCAAGCCTACATATACAGGGTGGGCCAAAAGTCACTGACCCTTTTTATTTGCTGATATATTTTATATTTCTTAATATTTTTTATTTTCTTAACATTCTTACTTCATTCGGTTCCTGGAAAATAATTATGGTGAAACTTGATACCGTCCAACGTACAAAAATTGTAAAATTTTACTTCTAAAATCAAAGCTCAATAATTCAAACTCAAAGAGCTTATCGAAAGCATTTTGATGTGAGAGACAACAACCACAAGCAACCACAAGATTGCGCCATCAAGCCGCAATCTTTAATAGAGCTAATGGAAAACATCACTAGAAAAGTAAGAGAAATAAGCCCAGTAACTTTGGAGAAAGTTATGGTAGAGATAGTCGAAAGAGCTGCAATTTATGAAGCACAAAACGGAAGACATATGCAGGATGTTATTTTACACATTTAACGATTAAGTTCCTAAAGTTTCCTAAAAGTAAATTTGTGATGATGATAAAATAATGTTTGTGATAGATCTCAATTTCCATCGCCTTGACCTATGATACTAAAATTTCATGCATATAACTGTTAGTATAAAAAGTTATCTAAAATTTAAGTCGTTCAGTGACTTTTGGCCTATATTGTATAATTATCTATCCACGAACAAGCTGAGCAAAAGTCTCCAGCAAAATTGGAGACGTAACTCGTGCTTTTATTGAGGAGACGTATCCAAATTACTGCGTACTGAAGCGCAGATCCTTAGTATCCTTAACATTTGTTCCGCATGTAGCAATCCCAGGCAACGATGGAACGCCGCCTCTGACTATCGCGCATCCACCCTTATTTGGGCCAGCTGATGCACGATGCTGTTGCTTGCTTCTAGCCGTCGCTAGTAGTGCATGGGCAGTCGATCACGGATTGTGCCCAGGAACACGTCCCGTCGTTTCATAAAGGTCTCCAGGGTGAACTCCATGAAGCGATTCGTTCCTGGTAAACTCAGAGAAGCGACTCGTTAGTGATCTCTGCACGGATCGTGAACGAGTCTCTTCTCTTCGATTTTCGAGTTGTTAAGTGCCAAGTAGCGGTACTCCATTCCAGATCTTCCAGTACCACTGAATCTCAGAAACTTTGATACCACTGTATCAAAGAACCCGTTGAACTACATGTTGTTCACTTGGGCCCAGTCATATATTGCAGAGAGGTCTTCTTGCAACCTCTCACAGTCCGTCCTGTCCATGATGGTCAATAGTATCCTAGTGTCGTCCGCGAATGACGATGCATGACTGAAGCTCTCAGTGAAAGAACTAGGCTCCTCGAAAATTATCGACTATTTGAGACAAGACTAATTTAAATTCCAAAAGCCCACAGTCAACATCATCCCCAACGACGCCTTCGTTACCATGGATAGATACACTACCATAAAAAAAAAAACAACCACCGCCAAAAGCTGAAACAATCCACATTTTAACATCCAACCCCATCATGACCCCTCAATCAACACTAAAGATACTGCCCAACAATACTGATACAATGTCCAACACTGGCATAATAATAAATTTACATTATCAAATATTTCTAAGACATGGATCCAGGCATCATTCTTAATAAAGATCACGCAATCACCTACAATAACACTTTATTAAAAAATTCAATAACAACCTCCATAGCTGCAACAAAGATAACACAATTCACTCCGGTTCTGACATAGCAGTAAAAGGCCATATTCCATACAAACTACGTACACGACAACTTCCATACAGATAAGCTCGCAATCACGGTATATAACCAACAGAGACCCAGCACAATAGAAACTATACATGCAATCCACCCCGCATGGACTACATCAACATTGACTTCCATGCACACCCTTTTGAATAGGACTCATCCCGTATGCCTCCTCGCAGAAACACACGCAAAATACACAACATTAGGAAAAGAGTTGGAACCTCCAACCACATAGGAAGACAAGTGCACTCACTAATATGTCAACGCAAATGTATTCACATCGGCTCTTACTTTCTAACCTTCATCACCCACAACTGCACAACATCACCTAAAGAGTACTATAAAACAATAAAGCATACCACAACAAACACATACAGCCCGGACCCATCACACCATCAGACCACATTCCATAATAGCCCCTATATCTGGAAATCCCATGCAAATACCCTTGCGTTTTCGTAGATCCATTCCACAGAGCAAACTGTACACAATACAAACAAGCATTATGACAACACAGTACCCACACAACTTGATCCTACACTGGAAGAAATATAGGCACATACTTAGATAACTGGACAAAACATATTCAGAACGCCACCGATACCTCAATCACTACAATTAATGACACACCGCATTATTTCCGGCATCGGACTAACCCACGAAACATTGCTCATTCAAACACAATACCAAGCAACTCACCAATACATTCACACCCACGTTCCATCGCTAGAGCTCAACAGACAACTCATCGCCATAAGTCAGCAACTACCGACAACATACAGACGTATCCAAATACAAACATGGTAGAACGTCATTAGCACATAAAAAAACACAAAAAGATTCCCAAAAATTCTGTTCATCCCTATAACACATGATAGGTTCCAACACCAAGCAAATTATTGTCCCGTACCTCAAACAACAACATACAACATGACACACCCGAACAAAAAGAATCCATCTTTCGCAAAAACTGCAGGCAGGATCACTCAGTATTACACAGACAATGAAGACATTGACATAGAACACATCCACACCATACAAGATCACGTTAGCAACAATTCATGCCTACACCTAATTCACCCATATAATCGCGGCTCCATCCTGCAGACTTCACACTTATTAACATTAGCAAGAGGATTACAGAACATTCAAACAGAAAGTAATTGGTCCCACGAGCATCACAACACTCAAATTCAAACACCTCACCTACCCAAAAAATTATCAGCTATCTAATATACATATTTAATCGTGCCATTTCCACCGGTTATTTCCTTGAGTCAGCAAAACACGTCATCATGATCTTCCGCCCCAAACACAACGCATTGCAACACCAAGTACAAAATTACAGACCCAACTCACTAGTAGATATCAACGGAAAGCCTTTAGACAAAATACTCAACAATAGATTACACGAACCCCTTTTCATTCGCTACGTACATAACACTATGCAACACGAGTTTAGGAAACAGAGGGACACAAACAGCACTAGCCACATTCCACGAGACACTAACCATCCACTTAGCACGACAACACACCACTGATATAGTGTTTCGCGATGTGACCAAAGCCTTTGACAAGGTTTGGCACACTGGACTCCAATAAAAGATCATCCAACTAAACCTGCATCCGTCCTTCATCAAAACACTCTCAGTCTACCGTACAGACAGAACAGCATCCATAAGAATAGTAATTTCACATAGGTCCTCCACTACAACTCCACACAGGTGCCCTCCAAGGGGCTTGTCTCTCCCCTACACTATTCAGCTTATACACCCAAGACCACCCACCACCACTAGTCCACTACCCAACTCCTAGACTACATAGCTTATGCAGGTGACAAAACACAAATAACCACAGGGCATTACCCACACAACCACGCAGCAGTACAAACACAACACGCCATACAACAGATCCACACCTTTAAAATGAACGGCTTGTTAGGAAAAACACAAATAAATTTAAAATCATCCCCATCATTAGGCGAAACACTTCCAACATCTACATAGACAACACTCTCTATCCATATGCGGAAATTGCAACAGTCTTAGGTTTACAATTCACAACATCCGGCTCCAGCTCCCAAATAGCAGAAAGAAAAGCAATGTTCCTCACCAATCTGCACAAAATCCACTGATTTTACCACCTTCCACCCAACATAAAACGCGCGTTATACCTCTCCTTTCTTAGAACATCCCGCATTTAACTCCCGATACCGATACACCACAATTAAAATAATCCGTGTCCGAAATACAGACAGTACAGAACAAAGCACTCCGATTTTTCACACGCACACTGGTCCGACTTCACATCATCCCAAACACTACACAAACAATGAGACATTCCTACAATAAACACAGTTCGTCACCAAGAAACACGCAAAACTGGTTCCACCATTAAAAAATATGATTCAAATTCTTCAATCAAGTCACATTACTCCCAGACGCCATAGCAAGGCAGGACCGGTTATTCAGCAGCTTCAATGTACACGCACTTGGACCACCACCTCCGTCCTTGTACAAATAACAACACAAGGACCATGCTGCACCCGGACGGCAGTTGTCCCCACGTGTAGCTGGTCCCATAACAACCCACATCACCTCATACACTTCCACGCAGACGGACTGACTAAACTCACAGAAAGGACGCACAGTAAAGATGAACTGCTTAACTACTGAAAAGCCAGTAAAAACTTGAATAGATTCATTCTCTGAGCCTCAATTTCCATTCCATTTTCGGTCCATCGATCCCCGTCAGGGACTTGTCCCCACCCCCCCCCCCGCCAGGGTCCCACACCAGGCACGCCCTCTAGTGCCTCGTCGACAGCACCCTGTTGCACTCCGGACACTGAGCGACCCTCCCCCTCCTGGCTCTCACCAGCTCCTCCCCTCTCCCACCACAACCGCGCCAACGTCTCGTCCCCCAGCGCCTCCCTCACACGTCCCCCCTCCTGACCCTCACACTCCCCCTCCCGACTCTCACCCTTCCCTTCCAGACTCTCCTCGGCTTATCCCCCCCCTTCTCCCCACCGGCGCCAACATCTCGTCCCTCTACACACCCCCTCACATACCTCGCCTAATTTCCATTCGTAATCCACGTATTGCACCTCCCGCACTGTCTCCTGTCTCCCGCTCCACTCGCTCCACCCGTACACGTCATCTCATGATTCACTCTTGCACCCTCCGTCTCAACATTCATGCCACATATGCTACATACAAACCTCACTCGCTCCTCAGCTACTCTATGCATACGCTTCTGGTGGTTGGTCAGGCCCGCCTTACTT